AATTTTGATGACATTGGAATAACTAAAATAATTATATTTAGAAATTTGCTCTTGATTGAAATTTATAATTCTACATAATTCATTTATCGGATTTGTCATTTTTATCTCGTAATTAGATATAATATTATCGAAAATCGTTTTATTTGGTAAAGATGACCAATCTTATGGTATCATCTCGATTTCTTCTATTATAAAACTTCAAAATACTAATATTCATTCTCATCTACATAACCGATTTCTATTATGGAAAGCGAAGAGTTTATATTAGATAATTTTATAATTTATAATTGTTCTAGTATAATTGCATTTCAGAAGAACGTAAATTCCATAAAATGAACAAGATTTTGTTCATATATAAGAGAATTAGTTCCATTATATTTCACATTCAAAATCTTTTCTTTCGTTAACGTACCGGCAATTGATTACAAAAAGAAAAATTCTACACGCTTTTTAAAAAATTTTTGTTTAAGTGTTACGAAGATCGTTCTTTTTTTTCGACATGATGGCAAAACATCGTAAATACAGATTTGTATTCAAAAATTTTGATCTCAATAGAATCACACAGGTTAGATTATTCGAAAACAGTGACGAGATGAAAGCATCGAAATTTGACGAAAATGTGATGATAATCTCTGAATGTAAACCTGTATTTATGGTGTTTTGCTGTCATATTGGAGAAACAATTCCCTCAACAATCAAACAAAATTTTTAAAAGAAGCATAAATAGATTTTTTTACAAACTATATGACAAGTAAAACTAGAACTGCGTAAGTTCGAGTAGGACCCCTCGCAATAGAAGACCCCTGATCTTCTATTGTGGGTAGGACTTGAAGAGTATTGACTGTTCGCATTACAAGTACGTGTCGCTGAGTACAATGAAAAATCGAGTCTAATGAAACTTAATGTTTTTTGGTGTATTCCAGTTTTTCTGATTGTTTTTTTTTTGAATCTATTATTCCTACATGTCGCTACACTTCAGGAGAAAAAAAATTCTTTGATCAAGCACTTAACAACTAATTACCTTTATAAGTTCGTACAGCAATATGAGCTGAATTTGATTGATTACAATTTGGATCATTATCATAAAGATCATTCATAATTGAAAATAAAGCTTCAATACGTTGATCTTGTCGTATATCTTCTCTAGCGTTAACTAAAAATCTATAATCATTTTCATCATGTCCACGTATTGTTATACGTTTTGGTAAACGTAATGAATGAAGTACCAAAAGTTTTTCATTAAAACCAACAATTTTAATATGATGTTCAATTAATGGTTTTTTTTACTTGTATATTGTCCAGGTATTTCTAATTCACGTATAGATAATTTATCTAATATACGATTTTGTTGTCAAAATGTTGATGAAAACCATGTTGAATAATCATTTATATTTATTTTATCTTGTATAATATTTTTTAATTTTAATGATATATTACTTAATATTAAACGTGTATCACCTAATCATATTGTTGATAATAATTCACCATTTTTACCAAATATATCATTAAATTCTTTTTCAACAGCATTTTTAAATAATATTCTTATTGATGTTATTTTAGGTTTTAATACTGTATTATCATCTATATCATTATTATCTTGTGTATTTGATAATATTAATTGTTCATCATTTGTTTCATCAAGATTAATTATATCAGAAAAAAGTATTTGTTTAAATTTAATTAAATGTTCTTGAAGTTTATTAATATCTTTTATATTTAAATCATTTGTTAATAAATGAAATAATTCTTTTGACTATGTATCAAATTGTTGTTGAGGATTTAATTGATTTAATGCTTCAATAAATTCCTTAACACGTGGTGTATATTGATCTAATTGTTGATGATTTAATTCAAGATTATATTTTAATATTGGATCTTGAATTGCATATTATAATGTTTCATAATTTAATTTAAATGGATAAACTATCGATTGTGGATGAAGTTTTACAATTTGTTTAATTACTGGATATAATTTAAGTCTTTCAAAAAAACAAAAAATAAATAGATTTGAATATAAAAATTTAATTGAAATATTCGATTTTGAATTTTACTAATTAAAAATTATAATAATGGTAGTTTTTTTGTTGAATATATTATTTAGTATGTTTAATTTTTTATAGTTGTACGAATTTTAATTGAAGATATTCTTAAAGTTTCAGACGAAAAGAATATTCCTCTGTCGAAATATTGAATTTTCTAGTAAACTCGATTTTTGTAACATGTCTATGTCAAATAGCTAATTTTTGCAAAGTCAATATCTTGACAAAGGAAAACTCTTTTTTTTACCTGAGACTTTAAGAAGATTTTAAGGATCATTAGACTTATCTATGAGCGAAACGATTATAACTCGGCTCCGTAAGCTTTTTATGGACAAATCCCTTTAGGGTTTTTGTTCTCATCGTACCAAATCCTATTTATGAGTGAAATATCAGCTAAAAAGCTTTAAATTGCATAGGATAATTCCTCATTAAGTTTGATTTCTTTTTTTGAAAGTAATCTTTGAATAAAGTGATAATTAAATTACGTAATTGGTTTATTTAAATATGCAGTTATTTGATATAAACAATCAAAAAAACTCCAACAAAGGAATTTCTTGTAATTTATTAGCAATTAAATCCATTGTTGTTGTTGTTGAATACAAAATCAACAATTTGTAATAAACGTGAAAAACATTTAACACCTTCATTTGAATCATATTTCATTGATAATAAAACAGATTTAACAATTAATTCTGCTATATTATTTCCATTATCACCATTAAATAAATTTGTTAATAAACTATTTTCATTTTCATTATTTTCATATCGACGTAAATAATCATCACATATACTTACTAAATCATTATAATCACGACTAAGAATATTTTCTTTTGCGATATTTAATGACATACATTCATTAATTTCTTTGAAAATCTATTTTAGTTCTTAATAACTTACTGAAAGATTTTGTAAATCAGTTTCTTGTTTTTCAATATTTTCTTTTAATATATGAATACATTTATTAAATAATTCATAAATTAATTGATCAGTTTGTTGAATTTGATTATTATTATTTTCTAAACTATATAAATACATTTCTAATTGTTTTGTGTTTAGTTTGTGGAATTTTTTCATCTTGTTCATAATTATAATAACCTTGTGATTGTGTAAATAAAAAATCAATAACTGTTCGACAAAATTGTGAATTTAATTGTATATAATTAGAATTTAATTGTGCTGTTTGTTGATCAATTATTTTTAATGATGAAATTTTAATTTCCATTTTTTTAAATTCTTTTACAACACTTGTTGATAATAAATTTGATAATGTTGATGTTGATGATTGTATTGGATGACATTTTAAATGTACATCACAATATATTTCATTCCAATATATAGATTTTATTAATGAATTTTGACATAAATCAAGACAATGATGTGTTTCATTTAATTTTGTTAAAGCTAATTTAAAATTATGTTGACGTAATGCACAATATGACATATCAAGTAATGATTGAACTTTATAATCAATTAATAATGGATCAAATTCAGTTGCTTTTAAACGACTTGAAAATATCATACGTGGTCCACCAATTAATTCATCGAGAACCTTATGTTAAATTATAATTAGTAGTTTGAAAAACTTATTTTTTTCCTTAATAGTCACAAATTTAAAAGATATTGTTAACATTAAACGACAAGGATATTCAAGAAGAAAATTCTTCAATTGATTAATCGGTTTTCAGGAAGGATTGTATATATTATATGTAAGTTCTCGTGATAGATCTTAGAAAGAATAGTTTATGGAGAAATTTTCAGGTCTTGTCGTTGTGTCTATCCGGAGATTCGGCTAAAGGAAAAGTTTGTCTTTTACATTGCTTAAATACATTGATAGATTCGATTTTCTTATTTCAGAATAGAAGCAAATCAAAAGGAACTGAAACTTTTGCAATAAATTATTTTAAGTAAGGCTTGTCTCTGTTGAAAAAACTATGGTCTTTAGTTAAATCAATACCGTAAAAATGCAAGTATCTCCGCAGCAATAAACTAAAGTTCATCAAGTGAGAAACTTCTTTTATTAGATTAAATAACTAGAAACGAATCTGGCAAATAATCGATACAGATTTAATAGAATTACTCTATGAAATTCTTCGATCTATATGAAATATTCGATGTACGGCAATAATTTTGTAAGCATATATTAATCCAGACTGAATCTATTGTATTTATTGTTTGAATAAGTAAAATTTGTTTTCTAATTGAATAGATCGTCATAAAAATAAACTTATATAAAATCTCAATACAACAGACAACAACATTTTATCAACTGAAATAGTCTTTAATCGATTTATTTAAAAAATAAAATAACATCAACCATTTCTGTTTTTTTTCACTATTGTCTATTTCTCTTTATGATAAAATTAACATATTGACAATAAATAAAATATGTCTAATTTAATCATATACTAACAAAAGTTGATTTAAAAACTATGACCATCTTTTCTTTTTAAATAAAAAAAAAAACTCAATTGATTTTCATCGTTATGCAACTCCGAGGCTACAGGTCCATGTTTTTTGTGAATTCGAACTTGCAGCTTCCTATATGCAATACGTCATAGTGTATTATAATTCTTCATATATTTCAAACATGTAGAAATCTTCTAATCAATATTTTTAAAAAAAATATTAAATTTTTGATATATACATCTAAAAATAATGATCGATTTGTAACAATATCATCCCATGTTTGTATTGAACTACGTATAACATCTGATAATTGCCATTGTGATAATAAATTATAATGTATACGTTCAAGAAATAAATATCGTATTGTTGTATCATTTTTATTATTTGTTAAATAACGATTTTCAAGAGATTTTAATAATGGTAAATTTTTTTCAATAAATATAAGAAATTGATCAAGTTCATAATAAGGTTGAATTAATTGAATTGTTGTTTTACGACCATATTCACTTAAACGACTTAATGTTGACCAACGTAGTAAAAATTATTCTTTAGCATATTGAATATAATATTTTGCACCTGAAAAATAAAACAAATAAATTAATCCATTTATTATACAAAAATTAAAATAAATTTTGTTATTCAACATTCGAAATCTCTGCTAGTATCTCTTTAATGAAAAATAAAAACTTTCGCTCTAATTAAAGGAACATACCAAAATGACTAACACTAATTGAAAGAAACCTACAGAATTTTCTAGGAACTATTATACGTCCTTATGGACAAAATTCAATCATTAGATGTTACTGTCAATACCTTGTTTGGATGCTAAAACACATAAAAGAAGCTATAACTTTGGGAAAAGTTCCAAAGATTCTTGTCTTTTCAGATTTTAATGAGTCTTACAAAAAAAAACCAGTTCAATCAACGTCGGTTAGTTTGGAAGCTTTCCTCATTAGATCAAATTTCCCTTCAGGACTTATGAAATAGAATATGATGAGAAGATTTTAATTGAAACTTTGTAACAATCCTTTTTCAATAACCTATAAGATAGTTTGGAAGTTTTAAATAGAAAAATATAGATGTTTAATTGAGAGGAGTTGCACATATTTCTAACAAATATTTAAAACGTCAAATTGTTTATATAGTTCAATGTTTTGAAAAAAAAAACCTAATTTTATTTCTATGTGATTAACATAAAAAACAAACATGAATTTACTGGATTCATTACTCCCGATCAAAATCTTTTTGATAAAGAAAAAATGTTGCTAATTCAAATGGATATTGTTTTTCAATTTAAGAACGTTTAACAAATCGTGTTTCTGAATTTCTAGTTATAATTGTATTATTTGAATTTGTTGATAAATTATTAAAAAATCGACAAAGATCATTTTGTTCTAATTGTTCTTTTTCATTACCAGTTATAAGTAATTTAAGTTTAGCACGTATTGCATATGGCATTTAATAATTTAATTGATGTACATTTGATCATAATGTATCAAATGTTGTATTATCAATAAATATATGTTTAGACATAATTGTCCAATTATTTAATTGATTACAACGATTTAACATTGATTGTGTCCAAAATTCATGTTCTAATTCTAATATTGAATCATTTAATATTTCATCTGTTAATGGATATTGTTCTAATGCTGTAATATAACTATTTAATGCTAATAAAAAATCTGTATGACTTTCTTCTTCAATAGCACGTTATGTTATGGATTTTAAACCTGATGTTTGAGAAAAAATACCACGTACATCATCATAATTAGCTAATGAACGATAACATTTAGCTAATTCAAACTATTGATCAATTTTTTTATATAATTGATTATTTAAATCAAGATCAGATTTTAATTTTTTTTTTAATGGTTCATTTATAGATTTTTTAAATTCATTTTGTTGATTTAAACGTATAAAACATTCAATTGTTAATATACCAATTGATTCTAAATGACTTGCAATTGTTGATGCACTTATATATTGTGATGATATTTGTATTTGTTCAGGTTTAGATAAAATAATATCAAGTAGAGCAGCAACAAATAATGGATAAAAAATTTCTGATTGTGATAACATAACATCAAAACAATGTTGAATTGTTCGAATTAAATTAAAATATTCATTAGATGATAATTTATTTTCTAATGAATTTAATATTGATGTAAATACACTTGCATATAATAAACGTGCTATATGATTATCATATTGAGCAAGTGCTTGTAAAGGTATTATCATATTACTATAACGTATTTGTATATCAGGTAATTCACCAATACGATATTTTTCAACTTGATTTTCTTGTTTTAATTTAATTTCATTTAAAAATTGTTTTTCTGTTTCTTTTTTTCATTTTGTCTTCGAGCAAAATAAGCAGCTGAAAATAAAAAAAAATTTTTCTATTATGATTCTCTATTAAATATATATATCATACAAAAAATTTTGATGAATGAATTATGAAAGAAAGATTTCTGGAGAATCAAATATAGTAGTTTTCAGAGAATTGAAAGATTATATATCTTGCGATTTAATACGTGGTATGATATTCTTATTATTTTTTTTTTTTGGTGTTGACGAATAATCATATAGCAGTGAAAGAAAATAAATCTCGAGTATCAAAGATCTCGCTTTCTGCACAATAGTTCATCAGAAAAATGTGAAACTTTCAGTGTGGATAAATTTTGATGAGTAGAACAAAAGTTGTCCTAGATTTGAATCCTATCATCACTTGTTCTTTATGTTTTGTTTTACGACTACGGAACGAAACCTAAAAGTACTGAGCTAATCAAACTTTCAATACACAATTAAAGACTTATGTTGAAATCGAATATACTCAAGTAGAGCATTGGTAAACAATAAATGCATTTTACTCTCTCAAATTATCTCTATTGCTCATTTTGTTTCAAATTAGGAATAAGCTGAGTTTGGAATCGATTCTTTTTTTTTCAGCATGGACCGAATTCGAAAAAAAATCAGTTAGAACAAATTAATCAGAGATCAGTTTGAAAGACATCGTTTAATAAAAAAATGTTCTAATTATTTAAAGATAATATTAAAATATTTTATTGTACCTAAATAATTATTTTACTACCATATAGTTGTCCAGAATCTTTAAGAAATCTTCTTTTAAGTCTAAATATATCATCATCTTCTTTATCATTCTTTTGATTTTGTATATTTATTTGTGTATTTGTTTTTGATTTTTTATTTGTATTATCAACATCACCAATTAATGATGTTGTTTTTTTTGTTTGTGTTGATAATGTTGGTAACATAAATGTATTTATTGAATCTAATGTATTTGTTTGTTTAAGCCAATTATAATTTGTATTATTATTATCTAACATTTGTGTTGGAACAAATTGTTGTCTACTTGATATTTCTTGTGTTTGTAAAATCGTTGATGATGTTGAATTTGATGATGGTTGTTGATCTGCATTATTATTATTATTATTATTATTATTATTATTATTTTCAGCTGATGTTTGCATAAATTGAACAGGATTCATAGACATTAAATTTGTTGTTGCTGTTATTGATATTGATGGATCAATTATAGATTGTGATTGTAATGTAAATAAAGGTGTCATATATGTATGATGACGTTGATGCCAATTACATGCTAATGGAAATTCTTGAAATGAACATTTATCAAGTGGATTTTCAAATATAAAATGATTATAATCAGGATTATGTGTTGTACGTTCAAGAAGAAAATTTGTACAATAATTTAAATATTCATTTTCAGTTTTAATTGGATATTGTCAACTAAATGATGATATTACTCGTTTAACAATTAATGCACTTGAACCAGTAGCAGAATTTGGTTGAAGTTGTTCTTCAATCATTTGATAATCAGTTTCTTGTAATTAATTATCTGAAACGACAATCAAATATTAAACTTAATCGAAGATATACTAAAGCCTTCTAGGCTTTGATTTATTGAGATTCTTAGATATATTAATTCATTAAGGTCGTAGCTAGCAATACGCTAATTGGGACTTTTTTTTCGTTTAACTATTTTCTGGTGTTTTAGCAAAAAACTTAATACTTCAGGAGAGGGTCATTTATATAGAAAAATAGGGACCTGGAGGTCCATGTTTTTTCCGCTAAGATTTGGCACTTTTGTTTAACTGACCAAATAAAGCATCAAGATTTTAGTTATTTATTGGTTACTCTCAGAAAAAACCGAGATAAATACAAATGGGGTCTAAGTTAAATCTAGACATGAATAAAAAACAAGAGATTAAGTTTTACTATTTTATTTGAAAATAGGTGCTGGATGAGTTATATAGATGAGGACCCATGTGTTCGAATGCGATCCAATTGCGACGCAGTTACGCGTAACTGCGATCGCACTGTGACCCGTAATTGCGGAAAATTGCGGCGCAGCTACGAGTAACTGCGAATTTTTTACCGTAGCTGCGCGCAACTGCGATATTTTTTTGCTGCGATCAATGCGCCGCAGTTACGCGCAGTTACGATCAAAATTTCGCAGTTACGCGCAACTGCGACGCAGTTGTTAAAAAAGTGGCGATATGGGGATTTATTAATGAATTCTAAAAATAAATTTTTTAAAAATGTACGTTGTGATGATGTTGTAAGTTCTTCAATTAAATCACAGCAGTCGAGTACCTAGAAAGAAAAGAAAATATATTATTTGGTATTACATATGAATACATACCCTCCAGGAAATAGAATGACCAATAAATAAATGTACGTAGAACTTGACAAGATTTTGAAGTTGTATATTTTCAAGAGTATGAAGAATTTTATATTGATCTTTAAAGATTTCTTCAAAATATCGTGTATATTTTTTGTTGAATGTGCACAGTTCTTGACCAAGTAAATCAAAATAACGTTCATATATTCGATGTTGTGCACAAATATCCACAATTACTTGACATAAATTTTTCTAAAATTTAAATTATTTAAAAACTAATTAAAAATTTCAAAAATATACTTCTTGTTCAGGACGTAAATTCTTATTTAGTAATATAAATGCACATTCTTGAACTTTAGTAACGGTTCCGGTTCCCGACCGGTTCTACCCGCTTTTTTTTCACGGTTCCGGGTAAGAGAAACAGAAAAATCTGGTCCTCGGTTCGGTTCTCCGTTCCGATTTTTTTGGAACCGCAGGGCTGTATTAATCAGGTTTTGTCGACGTTCAAGGCGACGATTTTCGCCTAGCATTGGATAAAGAATAATTGTTCCATCAGGATGTGTTGAAAATCAATTATTTGGAAAAATAGCATCAGGTTTTATTGGTGATAGTGTATCATCAAATACATCCACATAAATACCATGTGAACGAAGTTGTTCAACCATACGATTAAATTCGATTAATGCTTGTTGTTGAATATGATCTGCTGATGATGCATTAGCATATTGCTGATTTTGAAATGCATTTGAAATAGCTGTTTCTAGATTAAAACAGAAACAAGCTGGTCGAATCATAATAACACGACTTGTGGATTGAGTTGAAGGCATTATTGTATGAAGAAAAAAGACAAACCTAACCTTCGTTTAAATACTACTGTTTTCTTTTCTTTTTTTTGTTTTTTCAGTGTCTGAATGTGTCATTAAACACACGTCGTGCTTTTTGTGACTCATAGAAAGAAAATGAACGATTCGTTATTACGCACATAGATTTGTTTTTTTCACCTATAGTTTGTTTGTTTTTCTTTGTTATCTAGGAGTGCATATCCATCGTAGTTATTCGATGATTTATGATATACGACATGAATGTGATCCATCAGTATCAATGATTGATTTAGATAAAACATTAGATTTTTATTGTACTCGAACATGTTTAAATGATGGTTGCAATCATCATTCGGTAGAAGAGATAGTTTCCAATGCTGACGAAGATTTATATAAAAATAATACATTATGGAAAATTTATTTTCTTATTTGGACACAATTTTATTTTACCCAAGTAAAATAAACATTTATGTTACATTCTTTTTTTTACTTTAAAAAATTAATAATTGTAATAGAAAAAAGTCCTTTTTTTGAATTAAATGAACATAATTAGTTTGATAGTTCTATGTTAAAAAAAATCTTATTTCAATGATGGTTGGACCGACATTTCCGCGCGTGACACTTATGCGCAGAAGAATTTTTTTTTGTTCTGATTTATGTTAATTAATATAGTTCTTCGAAACTTCGTGAATGGCTTTTTATGAGAATGTTTTTTTATATAAATCCTATTCCTTTTATTTTGATATTATAATTTTATCAAATGTTATTGTAATACAATCGAATTTCTTCTGATAGATCTTTTCATTTAAATGATTTTTACAAGATTAATATTTATAGAAAAGGAAAATATGAATTAAAGTTTTGTGAACGAACAAATGGGCCACATATACCTAAAGATTTTATTTTCGAACAATTGAAACGTGTCGAATCATTGGTAAAATAATTTGTCACAGTTGTCAATGTTTCGTATTTAATAATGAGATGCGACAAACAACGTAAACAAGTGATTCTCTCAGAAAGAAATTGTATGACATAGTCATTATGTGCATTACTAAGATCAAGTGTAAGGAGATGATTAAATATAATCAATATAGATGAATGATGTTGTTCATTTTCTTGTGATTGAAGATTAAATATGGTTAATTTTTGAAGAAAAGGAAAATCTTGAGAAATAATTTGAAATAATTTATATTGGAATGGACGTTCATCACGCATGAATAACATTCGAACTTTATCAAATTCTCCACCTTGAAAACAACTACTCATATATAAAAACTCATTGAATTGATATGGAAGAGAATAAACATGGCAATTGCCTCTATTATTAATAAGTTTATCATCAGCATATATATCAATTGAATAAAATCCTCTTTTAATAAAACTCTTCCGAATATCATCATTCGATGGAAGATTAATATTAATAGAATTGTTAACAATATGAGTATGTATATTAAAGATAAATTTATTTAATTGTGACATATAATTAAGAAAATCATCATATAATTGATTACCATCAATATAAGTTGATTGATTTTTTATTACTGAAAGATGTAATGTTAATTCTTCAAGATTTAACATTCGACGAAGTAATGGAACAACTTGTTCATCATAATAATATGTACGCCAATTTGTTGTTAATGCAAAACATTTTAATTTGACAAGTTTTTTCTAAAGAAAAAAAAAACAAGACAATGAATAGATTTCAATACGACACTTATAATACTTACTGTATTATCTATCTTGGATGATGAGCGTTTTATTTTATAAATACGAATGATTAACGTTGATAAAGATTTAATAGATCCATTAAGAAGATAAAGACAATCATCAAAAGTATTTACATTTACTCTCAATTTAGTGACAGTTGAAGATAGACATTTTATGTGTGAAGTATTTAAATATGAAATTGTTATATATTTTGTTTGCATTTCTTGTAAAAAAGTCAAATCACTTAACTTATGACCGATAAATAGTATAAGTGGCAACATATTTCGTTTCTTTCCATTCGATATTTCTTCTTTCTTAGAATAAATATTGACAGTAAGATGTGTAATTTGCTTACTCAGAAGATGATATAGGGTGTCATTATCTTAAATGTAAATAAAAATATTAATGATTGATAAAATCAAATAAAATTTGTCATCATACTTGATAAATGTTGTGAAAGTATTTCTGGTTGATAATTGATCAATGATAATGAATGTAGTTGAGGATAATGAACAGCACAAAGAATTTGTTTCATAGAAAGTGGATCAACAGTCAATTTATTTACTTTATCATTAATTCGAGGTAAAATTTTTGAACAAATTCTATCGAGAATATCATTGTATGTCGCATACTGATGAATATCGAAATGTTTGATAGCAAAATTAAGATGATGAATACAAAGAGAATCGAATACTAATCGATTAAATCGTTGATTCACATCTACTAATGAATAAAACATATCCATCATATTTAATTTATTGAAAATAACATATAATAATTCATCTGCCAGATCCAGTATATTAATATTGTTGCTATTTACAATATTCATTTCATACTCTATGATTATTTTTCAATTCAGTTATTCTCATCTTTTTCCAATTTATATATACAATACTATGCTATTTTATTTCGCTGCCGTCCATAAAAATAATATTGATATAGTCATGTTATGTGATAATGAATGTCTGATGTTATTTTTCTTTCTGCCTGATGTTATTTTTTCACGTCTGATGCTATTTTTCTTTCTGTCTTAAATTTTTCTTTCATTCATAACCGAATAAAATTTGCATGGTTAATTTTGGATAATATAAAAATGTATTTATCATATATCAAATACATTTTAACAGATGGTGTCATGTTTAAATTAAGTTCAAATGTGTTCCCAACTTGTTTTTCATCAAACACAAAAGCTTAAGAAACGCGTGTAGACGCAACATTATTGGTACGTGCACATGCATAGTTATGGCACGGCATACGTGCGAACGCGTTAGAGACCAAACTATATTCGCGAGTCCGCGCATGAAAGTTTCCGCATGTACACGCTTAATATTTCCATACGCGGGACCATATACAAGTGTTTTTTAGAAACCCATTGCGTGTGCATGCAAGACAATATTATAATGGCCAAAAAACGAAGCATATATCATAGACATGCATGAACACGTACATTTTTTTTCCAGAGCTAAGATTCGAACATACATACTTTCTTTTATAAGACGAACTTCTTTACCATTCGGCCATCTACTTGCATTAAAAATACAATGAAAACTGAATGAGATAATGATTATCCGATAACTTTCGAACACGCGTGCACATGAATGCTAACAATTATCAAGAATTTGAAAAAATGGACAAGTTTTTTTATCTAATATAGTATAATAATAGAAGAGCGATTCCATTTTTACGAGAAATAAATAAATACACTTCGACGAAAAAACAAAACTCTTGCATAGAGCAAGGTGTGGGTGTGTGGGTGGGTGTAGGTGTGGGTGTGTGGGCGTGGGTGTGGGTGTGGGTGTGGGTGTGGGCGTAGGTGAGTGTGGGTGTGGGTGGGTGTGGGTGAAGAGAAGACTAAGAACCACACCCACACCCACACCCACACCCACACCCACACCCACACCCACACCCACACACCCACACCCACACACCCACACCCACACACCCACACCCACACACCCACACCCACCCACCCATACCCACACCCACCCACCCATACCCACACTCACCCATACCTACACCCGCACACCCCACACCCACACCCACACCCTCCTTCAAGAATCTGACTGTACGAATTGATCTAAGATCTCAGAGACTACGATTTTTTGTGAGATTCTTGTAAGATTTCGTCCATATTCCAGGATCTTGTATGTATTTCATAAGGTCTTGCGTCAGATTTTTCGACCTGGGTACTCGTCACATATAAAATATCTAAAACCTTTAAGCTTTTGAGACTTTAGATGTGGTACTTCGCATTTCACTTTGAAATTCTCGAGCGCTAATTGCCATCTGAATGAGATCTTTGAGCAAGATCGAAACACGTGTCATGGCAGCTTGTCACACCCACATCCACACCTTTGAGCGCTCTGATGAGTTTCGCGAGCAAGGAAGAAACTATTCAGGATTGCTCTGCATACACTCAACTGGACACATATTCTGGTCCCTCTCATGGCATGCACTGTTTCATTCTTCCATTCATTGTTTGTTTGTTTTTTCACAGTCAAGAGATGGATTAGTGCGCTGTTCGCTTGATTTACACTCATTCTCAAGATGGAATCGTGTCACCAATCACTACTATGTTATTAATGCGGTGCGAAGCACAGCATTTATGTAGTCCTTCGCGTATTTTTTTCTTTTTTTCTTATCTTACTTACTTGACGTACGCATTAAAAATAGTCATTTTGTGTCGCGATGATCTCAAGAACGAAAAATCAGAGAAAGTCCGTTGAAACGTGAAATGAAAGAATCGAGAACAAATCGTAGAAATTCGTTTTCCATACTTCATTAAGATAAGCGGTTGGATTAGAAATAATTTAGGAAAAAGAGGAATTTGAAAAATTTTATGCTCGAGATAATTAAAATGATGATAGCAAGAAAAGTTAGCCGCAAGTGTTTTCGAGCTATTGAAGTAATTCATTACAGCTGTAAGTCAGCTGATA